TCCTGCAATCGGTTTGTCAAGCACCTGCCTGGTGGCAGACAAGGTGCTAGGGCACAGCTGTGAGTGAGACACAAAGCACTCTCCCCTTGTAAGCTTGCATTGTAGTTGGGAGGACAGGCAATAAACGCTGAGTGAAATACACAGCATGGCAGGTGGCATTGACTGCTAAGGAGGTCATATCAAGGGCACTGGGTGGGGGGTGCATTTTCGAATAGAGTGGATAGAGAAGGTGTTACTGAGCAGGTGAGATTTGAGCCAACACTCCATCATCAGCTATTGGGCCCCATAATCAGATCCTGACTGGCAGATGTCCCCATCCTTGGATTATTTCCAATATCTGATAACACCACTCTATTTAGGCACCAATTCCTCCCTGAAAGTTGACCTGCCTCTCTTTCACACCTGAGATGACCGGAGGGAACGATACCTAATCACAGCTTTCCCCTCCTCATCTGGGGTTCTAAATGGTGCCCTTCAATCTATTTTTCTCATGGCAAAATTGCAAAGTAGGAAATCGGCAAAAATTTTCCTGACATAGAGCAAAGTGAATATCTCACGTTCTTTTTCCTTTAACAAATATTAACTCTGGAGAATGGAACAGTCTGAACCTTGCAAAATCCATTTATCTCACTGAGCCTTTGACAAGTCCATCTTTCTCCTTGAAGAAGGATTCTTACATGGCCAATGGCTTAGAAAGTTTTCATCCTCCGGGCATACAAGGACTGTCTGTTTTATTTATCTCTGCCTTCCCAGAACCGTGCTTGGTATAGGTGAAGAATGAATGAATGACTGGAGCAAGAACTAATAACGCTTGAAACCCAACTACTGCCAGCATCATCCAGTTCTGTAGTCCTGTCCACCTGAGAGTACCAAGTGCTACTTATGCGCCCTGCATCCTGCTGAGTGGGCAGCTACAAGCATCACCCAACTTTTCAGAGCTGCCCACCTGAGTGGAACAGAGGTGTCCCTGCATAACGTCAGAGTAGGTAGCTGCCCCATCAGCCTATCTTTCCTGGCCAGGTCTTGGGACTGTAAACAATTCCAGTTAGTTCCTTGCTCTATTCCCTCCTTGCGAAGAGATACCTCAAGAATATCCTATTTGTCCCAATTGAGAAGAAAAAAGCCATCGTCATTCTGAGTAAGTTTTAGTACTAGATGTATTGTTTTTAGAGAGAATTTAGAGGTAATTTCATATAGGCCAGAAATACATAGGTATGAGTACTATTGGGTAAAGTATTATTAAAAAATTAAGCAATTGAATTGAAACTTCCCATATTTATGAGTAGATCCAGAAATAGAAAGGATTAGGGGTCTGTTGGTCCAAATATCTCTTTACAAATGGAAAAACTAAAACCTAGAGAAGTCGACGAGTTTTAATTATGACAAAGATAATCTGTTAATAGTTTCAAAATGATAATATGATTGTATCTGGGAGTCTCCAAGACCATGCTCAGTTTCAATTATTCTCTAGAAGGACTCATAGAATTAAGCAAGCTATTATGGTTACAGTTTATTGCAGTGAAAGGATACAGACCAAAATCAGCAATGGAAAAAGGCACAAAGGCAGCAGCCTGGAGCCATCAGACACAAGATTCCGATTGCCCTCTCCCAGTGGAGTCATGCAGACAGAGCTAAATTCTCCCAGCAGTGATGTGTGACAACACATATGGAGTGTTGCTAACCAGAAACTCACCAGAGTCTTACTGTCCAGGGATTTTGTTGGGGGTTGGTCATATAGGTATGTCTGACTGTTCACACGGTTGATATTAGTCTCTAGACCTAGCACTGGTCAAGCTGATACCATGTGGCCCAAGGCTCCCAGCATAAATCACCTTGTTGGTATGAACTATCTGGCTGGTCCAAGGCCTCCAGGTTGAAAGGGACACTTATTAAGCAGGACATTCCAATAGCTTAGAAGTTACCTCCGAAGAGCTGGGCAACAGCCAAACTCTTCCTCATAAGGTATGGGGTTTGTTTAGACAACTCATACTTGCTTAGTTAACCCTTTACTATATAATGACCTACAGTGCGTTTTTTATGCCATGGAAAACTGGTTTTGTATTTTTTTTGTTTTATTTTTCCAGAAAAGCAATACCTAAGAACAAGGAGGTAATATCTATCTTCTCCTTCCTGATACACAAACAATCATTTCTTTATGTCCAACTGTTGGCCACATTTTGTCAAGTAGCATGAAGGAAGTTAATTTCTATATCAGAGGTAGTTGATATCTTGATGGTATTTGGAAGTCATTATGCAAAAGAAGTCGCCTTAAGGTATGGCCCACCTGAGTGGAATGTAATCATATATCGGCGGTGGGGGGGGGGAGTATCCCCCCCGATATATCTATTAAGTTAAAAAAAAAAGCAGTAACTTCACAGTGCAGACACCTCACAGACACCACCTAAACTAAGTGATCCGGGTTAGCATCACCAGTAATAAGGCGTGCAGGCAGGACGGGCAAACCTTTACCCATAACATGTGTTGTGTTGATTTCAGTTGAGATAAATTGCTCCTGAGTGGAATGTAATCAACTTGTTACCAGGTGGCCGACTGGGCTCTCCGAGGAGGTACCATGTCAGGGAGTCAGGGCTGCAGTAGCATAGACCCACAGCAGTGGCAGTAGCCAGACCAGCCTTCATGAGTGGGTGCCCATGCTGGTGGGCCCATTATTAGCCTTTGTCTCTACTACCTTTGTGCCAGCACTGGGGTGGTCATTGACAGAGGTTGGCTGATGACAACTGGCTGAATCCTGCTTTCTACTTCATTTCGTCCCTTCCATGGTAGATGCTCTCCGGTGGGCACCCTTAACGATTTATGAGATATAAAGACCTAGCTTTATGCCTACTCCTATAGCTCCAACTACATGCCTTTTCCCAAACCTCCTGGACCCGAATTTTCCAATCTTTCTCCTCATAGGCCCCTGACCAACCAGTCAAGCCATTCATCATTGCCCAGGGGCCCATCTATATTCTTCTGTTGAGCCATTTTTCTTTCTGCCAAAGGAGATGACCAGGTGCAGGATCTGGAGCTCTGCCAATTGAGAGGATTTCAGGGTTACCCCAAAGTAGGGCTGTAGTGCAGCGCAAGTCCATTTTTAGCTCATACCTCCATATCGAGCTAACCCATTCATGAATCAAACTTGAACTTTCCCCCCTCTATCAGAAGAGCTCCCACACCGGCCATAGGTGTGAGTTGAGGGAGGGGTGCTGGCCAAGCGATGCTGGGTGACTCGGGGGTCTGAGCTTCCTTTGCTCTCTGGCCCTGCTTGTGCCTCGTTTTGTTCCCTTTTGTCTAGTAATGCATTGTTTTGGACCTGCCTGACTTTATGACTTGGTAAGTCTAATACATTGCAGGTCATGATGGCCAGCTTTGGCCACACGGTCACTTGATGTCTTGTGGTCACACTCACCATCTTAACCAGGACTCAGTAGCAGGTCAGGGGAAGTTTTTGAATAGTGTGTAGCTCTTTGTTGCAGATGTCATAGCCCTGCTCCAGAACCTTTGGGATCTACACAGTGATTCTTCTTTTAGGGTTTGCCACACACTACCTGGCATCTGTCCCCCAACCATAGATACTTCTAGAACAACTAGCTACATGTGGCTAACGGCTACCATATTAGGAAGCACAGATACAGGACGTTTCTTTCTGTACAGAAAGTTGTACTGGACAGTACCACATCTAGATCAAACAGTTTACAAGAAATACAGAGAGTAGAGAAATATATGAAATAATACCACAAGGATAGAATCATCCAAAAAAACGGAACATGGAAAATTCTACAGAACAAGTGACCCAGTTTCTTTAACAAATAAATGGCATGGAAAAAAAGGGCAAGAGGTAGGCTGTTGTAGATTGAAAGAAATGTTACCAAATGCATTGTGTGGACTTCTCACTGGATCTCGAGTTGAACCAACCAACCGTGAAAGAGATTTTTTATTTTTTAAGACAAGCCACTTAAGCAACACGTTGAGAGCGGAAATGTGAACTCACTCAAATGTAATCGAGGAAAAGAACCTAAGTAGGGGTTTGTATTCCCGATTCGATTGAGGAAGAAAACAAAGCTAGGAATAGCTTTGTCTCAATAATGTTAGCAACATGCTCCATTGAATTTGTTGTGGGAGGAAAATGGAGCTTGAAATAGCTTCAAGAGCAGCAGCCACATCCCTGGATGGTCCTGGGATCTGCCCAGTGGGAGGGCGATGAAAAAATGCAACAGTTTTTTCCTTTCCTTACTTGATAAAGTGTTGCTCATCCTTAGCTCTCCCCTTGCAGAAAGGTTCCCTGACTTCCCTCACCACCCTGCACTTTTCAACCTCACAGGCCCGATCTAGGCCTACCCTGTGACACTGGGCCTGAGACTCGCAGGGTGAAAAGGACAAGAATGTGTGTCTGGGCCTGAGCCTGGCTGGAGCTAGGTGTACGCAGGAAGGGAACGTGAAGCCGAAGCTCTGAGGCCCAAGTGGAGATGGGAAGGAAGTGGGGTAGTTGGAGAGGTCAACAGGGACTGGCAGGACCCTTAAGGCCATGGCGAGGAGTCTGCCTTTGTTTGAAGAGCAGCTCGAAGCCTTGCTGTTGTTTCCTTTTGTGTCAAGCCTCACCTCTCCTGTAGAAGTCGGGAGCCTGGCAGATGTGCCTGACTCAGCAAGCTCTATGAGGACTCCGCTTTAAGGCGTGTCACTTTAAGTAAGCTCCACCCTCAGCACAGCCAATGGGCTGGTGCAGACACCCAGCTTAAGAACCCACATGCCTCTGGCCATTGCCCAGGTATGGCCAGTCTGCTCAGGGCAGCAGCAGCCTGGGGGCAGTTCCCCTGGAGGAGTTACTGTTCCGGGGGAGCACAGGTAGGCAGGGGAATCCTCCTGGAGGGCGCCCCCCCCCCCATGCCCAGTTTCCATCAGGCTCTGTGCTTTCCCGGCACTGTTTGACCTTGAATGGAAGTTCACTGGGCATATCCTATGTCAAGTGTGGGCTGAGGCCCCCGAGACTGCCACCAGTGGGGCTGGGGGGGTATCAAATGAAAGGTTTGTGGGCACCTTTTTGGGGGTCCCAAACGAACACATATGTTTTGAAAGAATGTCTGGGAGGCAAGGGCCTGGGTTCTAGGCCAGGCTCTGTCCTTGACTTGCTGGCCTGCATTCCCCATCTGTCAAATGAGAAGGAGCCCCCAGAAGGGCTCCAAGAGTCCTACGAGCCCCCAGCCATGGCAGAGTGGGGGTGGGGGCACCATAGTTGATGGGCTATGGAACTTGTGTCTTCCTGTCCTTCCTCTACCAAGCTCTGTCCCTGGTGTGCCTGTGGCAGTGCCTGGCTGGCCTTGGAGAAGGAGCAGAGATGAGTAACATTTCCAAGCCAGTAAGGCAGACTGCTTCATGGAACCCCGCTGATGCCCCTTTCTGTAGAGTGAATCTGGTTCTTATTTTTACCCAGGTGGCAGCTTTTCTGAACTGAAACACTGACCCCAACGATTCTGTTTGGGAAGGGGCACATCTGTAGAGTGGATTTGCTTCTGGTGGGCCCACTAGCAAGGCCTGGCTCCCCTGGCTCGTGGGGGTGGCATCAGTGGTGGAGTAGGGGAGGCCAGAGGTGCTGGCAGCCCCTCTCCCACTCCAGCGCCACCCCACCTGCCACAGGGGCAGTTCTGTGGACCCTGAGGGTCTGCGAGTGACCCTGGCAACATGTCTCTTCCCTGCAGGGCAAACTCAGCAAGGACTTCGTGGAGGCTCTGAAGGCAGTTGTGGGGCGCCCCCACGTGTCTACTGCTACTGTGGTCCTAGAGCAACATGGGCGTGATGAGTCGATTCACAGGTGTGGGGGGGCCCCTCCTTTGTCAGAGCTCCTGGCTGGGAGCCAGCGTTCTGAGCTGGCTTCTTTTCCACCCATCTGTTTTGGGGTGCTCTGGCATTCTCTTTTCCTCACCCCTCTCTCACTGTACAGTCTCAGGCCCTGCAATATCTTGGTGATCCTTGAAATGTGAGCAGGACCGGAGGTTCCCACGCCCCCTCAACTGTGGAGGTTCTGGTTCTAGGTGTCAACCTCCAGATGTCGTGGTGTGGCCCCAGAATGTGGAGCAGGTCAGCCAGCTGGCAGCTCTGTGTTACCGTGAAGGTGTGCCCATCATTCCATTCAGCACAGGCACTGGGCTCGAGGGTGGAGTCTGTGCTGTGCAGGTATGGTGGCCCCTCCCCAGCCAGGCTCTGGTCCCATCACGCTTGTCATATTTGTGGTGCCCCCTCCCCCACACACAGCCTGGTTGCCCAGGTCCAATCCTCCTTGCCTGCCATCCCAGGGCTCTGGTCTGGCTGCTGGGAGGTCAGCTTCAAGGCAGAGTCTTGGGAGAGTCTTGGGTGGCCTGGCAGGAGACCGAGGTCAGCCAGCTCCTTAGCACCCCTCCTGCCAGGGTGGTGTCTGCATCAACCTGACTCACATGGACCGGATCCTGGAGCTGAAACCAGAAGACTTCTCTGTGGTGGTGGAACCTGGCGTCACCCGCAAAGCACTCAACACCCACCTGCGGGACACTGGCCTCTGGTTTCCTGTGGGTAGGCTGGGACTTGTGGGCCTTCTCTTGGTGCCTTCAGGGCTCCCTAGAGGCAGGGCTGTTTCTGGGGCACCCCTGCCTGCCTCAGGCTGCTCTCTTCCCTCCAGATCCAGGTGCAGATGCCTCTCTCTGTGGCATGGCAGCCACTGGGGCTTCGGGCACCACCACCATCCGCTATGGAACCATGAAAGAGAACGTGCTGAACCTGGAGGTGGTGCTGCCTGATGGGCAGCTGCTTCACACCGCGGGCCTGGGCCGTCATTTCCGGTGAGCATTCTCTACCCACGAGATGGGGGCCTCCCAGATAGGTGCCGAGGTTTGCTCCTCTTGCACAAGGCCAACCTGGGGCCGTGCCAGGGAACAGCTGCCTTGACAGCAGACCAGCCCAGACCTCGGGCTCAGCACCCCACCTGGCAGGGGCTTAGGGGACAGTGCCCCAGCTTCCAGCTCTAGGCTTCTGGCCAGAAGTCCATTGTCACATGACCTGGGCACTCACCTACCTTGTGTGTCTCCTGGGCCCAGGAAGAGCGCAGCTGGCTACAACCTGACTGGGCTCTTTGTGGGATCCGAGGGGACACTGGGCCTCATCACAGCCACCACTCTGCGCCTGCACTCTGCCCCTGAGGCCACCCTAGTCGCTACCTGTGCATTCCCCAGTATCCAGGTGGCCGTGGACAGCACCATACACATCCTCCAGGCTGCAATGCCTGTGGCCCGCATTGGTAAGCTGGGGACTGGATGGTCCAAATGGGCTCCCCGGAAGAGGTCCCCTCTGAAGACCAGGCCTCACCTCACTTACACTCTCCTCGGTCCCAGAGTTCCTGGATGATGCCGTGATAGACGCCTGCAACAGGCACAGCAACCTGAACTGCACCGTGGCACCCACGCTCTTTCTCGAGTTCCATGGCTCCGAGCGGGCACTGGAAGAGCAGTTGCAGCGGGCAGGTGTGCCATAGGGCAGGGGGGCACAGGATGCCCAGACTATGGTCTAGTGTTAACCCCCCACCCCCCACAGAGGAGATCATCCAGTACAATGGAGCCTCCCACTTATCTTTGGTCAAGAAGGAGCAGTACAGCCAGCTCTGGGCCGCTCGGCACAATGCCTTGTACGCGTTCCGGGCCCTCCGGCCGGGCTGTAAGGTGAGCCGGGCTGCGGGGAGGTGGGACCCACGGCTTGGCCCACGGATCCTTTGCTTAGCCCACTACCCTAGTGTCCAGGGCAGCAGGCTGAGGCCCACAGCATTCGGGGCTGGCCCCACCCAGCTCTTTCTCAGACACTGTCTAGGGGGAAAGCAAGGTCATCTGCTGGGAGGGAGCCCCTGCCGGGAGCCCCTGCCGGGAGCCAGGCGTAGAGCACAGGGGCCCTGGAGCAGGCGCAGCACTGTGCTCTTAGCTCTTGGCTGTTGTGACCACGGGCTTCCTGGAGAGAGGGATGATGAAGTGGAAGGTGTTAGCCAACAGGACGGGGAGAGTCTGGGCTCCAGCAGCTCATGCAAAGGCTCAGTGGTGTGGTATTGGGGGACCCATGAGGGTGAGGTACAAAGGGAGAGCTGTGGAAGCCTCTGCCGGCAGCACCGGGAGAACACACCCCAGCCATCATCGCGTCGTACAGGGGAAACCGAGGCCTAGAGAAGAGCAGGCACGTCCATGTGTGTGAGGCCGAGCCTCTCCAGACCTGTCCTTAATCTTGACTGCAGTGACCCCTCCCCTCTGGGCAGGCGGTTAGGGGAAAACCTCACCGGCCTGCCCCTTGTCGCAGAACTATACCACCGATGTCTGTGTGCCCATCTCCCGGCTGCCAGAGATCCTAGTGCAGGCCAAGGAGGACCTGAAGGCCTTGGGAATCACAGGTTCTACCTGCCCACTGTTGGGGTGTGGGAGGGGAGGACAGGGTGCAAGGGCTGGGCTGAGGGCTGCAGCTCTGTTTTCTGGGCCCCCAGGATTCATCTTTGGACACGTGGGCGACGGCAACTTCCATTGCCTCCTGATGGTGGACCCAGAGGACACTGAAATGATCTGCAAGGCTGAGGCCTTTGCATACCAGCTGGCCAGGCAAGAACACAGCCCTGGCCTGGGAGGAGCGGGAGGAGCCGAAGGGAGTGGGAGAGCACCCCGCTGAGAATCTTTTCCGTTCTCTCCCAGGCGGGCACTGGCGCTCCATGGGACGTGCACTGGGGAACACGGCATCGGGCTGGGCAAGCGACAACTGCTGCAGGAGGAAGTGGGACCCGTGGGCATGGAGACCATGCGAAAGCTCAAGGCCGCACTGGATCCCCGAGGCCTCATGAACCCAGGCAAAGTGCTATGACGGACTCTGAGCACTTGACCTACAAGCCCCTAGACGATGGAACTTTCTTGGTGTGGGAAAGGATCTTGATAATTCTCCTTGGGGTCTCCAAAATAAACACTCGTGGCTATCTGGAGATGAGCAGACAGCACCTGTGACCAGCTTCCCATGCCATCCCCTACTCCACATGTTCTCTGCCTTTTGGCCAGTGACACCTTCATCCCTCATCCCAGACCTGTCCTCCAACTCGTGCAGCCTGGGGAGAGGGTCATTTTCAGGGACCCAGGTCCCTGTCCCAATTGCTTCACCTGTGAGAACCCCAGGACCTGAGGACTTGCCCGTGGCCAACAGCACTCACGACAGAATCCCCCACTGAACCCCAAACAGCTCTTAGAACACTCTGAGCATGTTCTTTAAGAAGCTGCTACCAATCCCTAGAAATAGAAATGAAGTTATTCTCCCTGTACCATGCCTCTCCATGGTGTGATGTATTATACTCCCAGCTTTTTGGCCGTCAAAGTCAGCATCTGTCCACTGGGGATCAGGCCTCTGCCTTGGGGTATGAGTTTTTCCCGCCTAAGCCCACTAGAGGGCACTTGCCACCATAAATTCAGATGCCACAGCCATCTGCTAGAGCAGTTGACCCAGGACTCATCTCTGCCAGGACTACAGCTCAGTCCTAGACTTCTGGGGTCAGGGAGGAGCCTGGCGTTCTGCAAGCCAATCTCTAAACTCTCCCAGAAGCCTACTGTGTGGGTCCATCTCCCTCTCCCTGGCCCTGCCCCTTAGGAAAGCTGCTGGCCAGCCATTCAGGGGTACCCTCCATCCTACCTCGCTTCCTCTCCCAAGCTACCTCTGAACTTTCCCAGACTCCATCCCCTTGCCCCTACCCTTCACCGCTCCCCATCAGCTGCTCAGGCCCTGGGTAGAAGAAGCCCTCTGTGGCAATACTGGGCTAAGCCCAGAATTTGCTCCTATGTGACTTTTGTCCCCTGCCTGCCCTGGCTGGGAGCAGTAGCTGTGCCAAGGGGTGGTGTATGGGCAAATCTCATGGGCTTCCTTCACAAACCACCCCATCCACGTCAGCCTCACATATTCTACAGAGACACAGCTCACAAGACCCTCCGCCCAGGGGCAGGTGTCTCCCCTACCGGGCAGGGCTCTGTTCTGATGTGCCTCCACTGCCTGGCCACTAGTAGGTGTTCAGCAAATGACCATTTCCCCACAGGTTTTTATTAAGAAAAAGTCCAAACATACAGAAGAGTTGAAAAAACAAACATACTGTTCACATACCAGCCAATGAAGATCCAACAATAAATATTTTTGTATTTGCTGTATGTGTGCATTTTGGAAGAACCATTGGGAACTCAGTTACACATTTGACATTATTCATCTACATAATTCAGCATCTGTCTCACAAGAATAAGGACATTCTCCTAAAAACCTCAACATCACTAAATGCTACTAGATAATAATAGTGAGATGCTCTGGTTCAGGAAGCTCCAGAAGTGTGCTGGTCCTCAGCAGAGAGACTGGACGGAACCTACCTCCCAACTCCTGCCAACACCTCCTCTGAGACCTTGGAGAGTTGTCTGGATGGAGGACAACAGATATCAGTTCCCCCTGGGAAGCCCAGATACCCTTGTCCCATCCCCGCACCAGAAGTTGGCATCTAGGTCTGAATTGGGAGGACACGGTAGGCAGCAGAGGGCTGCAGTGTCCCCACGGGGAGTCGAAGTCGCTGGGGGCAGGGAGTGGGGTAAGCACCAGCCCCAGGGGCCTGGAATAGCATCCAGCGTGGGCTCGAGGCCTGCCCCGCCTGGCTCACGACCACTCAGCTCACCTAGGACGCTGCCAAGGCCACCAGGCCTGAGCAACCGAGGTGGGCACACAGGTCTCCACCTGCAGGCCCAGGGGTCAGGCGAGGAGATCTTCAGGGTCAGCCTTGCTGAAGGAATTAAATATAGAACAGGGAGACACAGATGCCAGGCAGAAGCAGGCGGTGCTGTGAATAGAACAGTGCTCTTTGCAGTGACAATGCCACTAGGGAGCCTGATGTGTATGTGCCAGGGCTTCTGGGCAGACTCTCTGACCCTCGTGGTGACCTCTGAACTGCGTGACTGTCTCCACTTCACATGTGAGGAATCTGGAGTTTAGTTGAGTGAAGCTGTTTCAAGATCATTCTGACACGAGGTGGAGGAGCCGCTTGCACATAGTCGAGAGCGTGTCCTGGCGAGCATCAGTCCCCGGGGTCTCCACTTCAGGCAGCTCTGACGCAAAGGCTCAGCTCAGACCCACTCTTCTTTAGCGTTTCTCTGTACGTGCCGAGTGTGCCTGTGCCTCGGCTCACATTTGCCCAAGGGCCTGCAAAGCCCTTGCACAGTAGGTGCTGCAGGAACCATCTGATGGAGGATGACTGCAGAGCAGGGCCTGGAGGGGTTGCAGTCCACAGAGGCAACGGTACACAGGAGGCCCGAGAAGGGCAGAGCAGAGAGGGCGTGGAGCCATCTCCCTCCATAGCTTTCCTTCGCAGGCTCTGCAGGAGGCCTTGGAATGCTGCTCTGGGAGCCTGTCTGGCACAGGGACAGAGGCCAGGCTTGCACTGCTACCCCCTGCCCCAAGCTTCTTACCCAGCCCAAGATGGGCCAACATTTGTGAGCCTTGAATGGCTGGTTCTAGTTCAAGGCTCTGAGCTGGCTTAGCCCCAAACCACAGCCTGTTTCTGGGCCTCAGTGAAGCATGCCCATGAGTCAGCACTGAGGCCTGGACTGAGCGACAGGCAGGGCAGGACGTGGGATGCGGAGCGGAGGGCTAGGGGCCGGGGAGAAGGGGCGGTGCTGGGCCAACACCTGGAAGAAGCGACCCCCTTGTAGCCTCCAATGGCTGCAAGATCTTTGCCCCTGCAGATCTCGCAGAAGCGTTCCGTCACAGCCACTCCACAGGTGATGGCAGATTGTTCCATGATGCTTGAGAGGGTTAGTAAACCTCTGGGATTTGGGCCTGACCTGCCGCATCCCCTGTACCCAGGCGTGAGTGCTCCAAGAACCACATCACACCTGCAGCCCCAAGCAGTGGCCCTGAAGGAAGGCTTAGGAGGTAGGGGAGGGAGAGGGGGGACATGCCTTCAACCCCCATTTCCTGATCGTGTAACAACACTTCATTAAAATAAAGTCACACAGTGCATCTTTTATTAGACATTATTTTAATACCATATCAAAACATCTTGACTAATGAAGAAAGCTTTTCCCCCAGCTTCGAACATTTTTTTAAACATTTTATAGGTTTTTTTTTTTTTAATATTTTAATATATAAATACAGAAACCTATCTTGCATGGGCTGATGCCATGTGTGGCCATCGATGGCTAAAATGTTCTCAAACGGAGCGCCTGAAAACAGGGGTAGCTGTACATGTTTCTTTAATAAGTCTTTTGTCTAAGTTTTCTGGGAAAAAAAAAAAAAAATCCACAAGGGTCTAAGAAAAATGTTCAGGCATTTTTGCAGGACACTTGTGGTTGTTAAATCCTCCGAACTGACCAGAACCAGGAGGGAAGGAGGGAGAAGAAACGGGCACGGAGGGGAGAAGGTCTTCCATGGGTTGGCTGTTTCAATTTTTTTCTTTTTCTTTTGGCAATGAAGTCAAGATCTCAGGGTCCCCAGGGGAGAAAAATGCAAAACCAAGCCAGAAAAAATGGACAGAGGAAACCAAGGCAGAGCGGTTGGTGACGGAGGGCCTGCGGGGCGCTGGGCACAGGAGGACCGTGCCAGAGGGCTCCTGCGCCGTCGGAACGGGTGTGACGAGAACCTGGCTGTGTTCTCTTCTGTCACTGAGTGGGTTCTAGCTGGGCAGCAGACAGCAATCTGTAAACATCACGAGGGAAAACACCAGTCGACACCAGACTTTTTTTTTTTTATATAATTTTTTT